AAAAAAAAAAAGGACAGGAAATGGCGGAAGAATCGGTTAATAATAAGATTTATTTGCGTCATTGCAAAAACACTAATTATTTGTCATTATTAAGCATTTCTTACCGTTGATCACATGTATTATTTTTTAAAAATAAGGCCAACTACACAATTAAAGTCGGATTTACCTTTGCCCTGAAAACTTGTAAACAGCTCAGGATTCTTGTGCAGTTCAAACCGTAATTTAAAAAATTCGAGAATATCTGATTATTTTTTTTATTTTTTGACCTTATCAATGCAGTTTCTTATGGAATATGAAAATGAACTTACATGGAATTAAAGTATCTCACAAAGTGACATTTAAACAGAAATAGTTTTTCTATTTTAAATCACAAATTTATCTTTCTGTTAGCAAACTTATATGCAGAATGGGATGTCTAACCAGAATAAACTGCTTGGTCAAACAAATTACAAAAAAAAAAAAACAATTTTTTTTTGTAATTTAGTTGCAAAAAATTTTTTGGACGTCATTGTATTTCACCTTAAGTGAGCCGATCAACTGATGTATTCTAGTGGATAGATAGTGCACAAAACAAAAAAATTAAGACAAATTTCTTGAAGACGTTTTGTATCACAATCTTTTAGTGTTTGTAACTGTGTTAAAAACCAGCTTGCAAAAGATTCATTGCGGCTAGAAAAAATTTGCTTTGAGCAGGATAAAAAATAACCTGTCTTTTCTATTAATTCAAAAATGAAGGACTACTTATAAGCAGAAAGTTCTGTATTGTTGCAATAATAATATTTTATAGATGATCAAAGCAGAAAATTTTTGGTTTAAATTTGATTAGATGATGATAATTTAGCTACAAGTGTCAAGTGTATGCATTATGATTTGCACAATTTGAAAGCGTAAATTTTTAATTTTTTTATTTCAACAACAGTGTTTTACCTGTTCAAACGTTTGCTGTAAGCTAGAAAAATTGCTTATCAACGTGCAGTACTTAACGGTTGAAACTACATATGTATAATGTAAAACCCACGATAAAATCTTTAAAAAATCGCATTTTATATATGGTAATAAAGTATAATTGTTTGCACCTCAACTAATAATTATCATTAGACACCTCAACAAATATCACAGACGAAGTTCTTAAAAACCCGTCATCTAAGAAGTATTAAGCTGAAATATACAAACAAACAAATATTGTAGATGTTTATAAAAGTTAAAAGATACTCATTCTCTTCTTTTTTCTATTTGTGAACAACTTTCAAAGCAGTATTATATTTGACGAATAGACAAAAACATCTACAGTTAGTCGTTTAAAAAGTTCACTGTTTGATTTTAAAGTTCTTTATGGGTTAAGTTAGGTAACCATAAGTTGCCTTAATTCTTGTCTAATTAATGCTTCTCTTCAAGGCATATCATCACAAGTTTCCCTTATGATTTTGCAACAGACAGAAAAACTTGAGTTTTCTTTAATTACAAGGCTTAAACACCGTTTTAACAGAAAGGTAACCACTCTAAACAACTTTTTAAATTTCTTTTATTTTTCAACTTTTAGTGGGGTTATAAGATCAAAAAAAAAATCAAATTTTACAACAGCCTTGCCAAAGCTGTGGTTGCTTGAAACAGAGGTTTCGAAACTGCCAAATATACCTCTAATAAAATTTCATTGAAGGGCGATACATCTTGGGAAGTGGCACAATCTGGGGGCGAAGATTGATTTCAAATGGATGTGTGCTATATATGGTGAAAGTG